TGAAATATCGAGTATAGGTCGATTTTATGCGAGAAATTAACGTCATTTCTCTGAGATGTGCATATACATGTATATAAACAGTATACATTCGTATATACGGGTGCTTGTGAATGTACGTAGTATAGTGCCTGTATATATAATATTATATATATACATATAGCCATATAGGAAAATGTGTTTCCAATTTAAATATTTCAATATCTCCCCCGGGCTGCGCTTGCTCCTGCAGGATCTCTGGTTAAATTTATTCATTGAATGGTTTGTTTAACATAAACAAAACATTAATATGCCTCGACCGACCGATGGACCGCCATAGTGTACTGTGTACTACGATATACACAGTTTGTGTATGTGTATATAATAATGTATATAAATATATGTATTGTGTTTGGACACTAATTAAAAACAAATGTAAACGTGTCCGTCGCTGCGTGCACTTAGCTTTGAAAACATTGTATTAGACATAGAAGAACCACCCTATAGTGTAAAACAACTTACTGAGGGTAGATCGTATGCAATATATTATTATACATAATATAATAGTTACCTATTAAATTATGATGTAAAATAATAACACGTATGTATAGGTACGTTAGTTGTCATCTTTTACTCTCGACAAACGCTGCACGAGGAAAGTACGAGAGATAGAGAAAAGTATGTGTATTTTACGTCTAATACTGGTTGAAATTTGTTGGTAAGATATGGAGATTTGTCGGTTGTGTTTTGTTTAATGGGGAGGGAGGTGAAGTCGACGATCTGGGAAAATATTATTGTTGTACAACGAAATACACATACTCACACACACACACACACACACACATATACTATATGTGCAAGCGTGTGTTTGCGTCGCATCTGAGAGATGATTGATCACGCACTAGCTCGAAAGTCCATCACGTAAAGGCCATTCGAAAGGTCCCCCGGGTGTAGTTTCATGCGACAGCGCAGAGCGCTCCCTTCAGCTCCGTTGTGCCTCGGGTAGGGTGGAGGTCGTCTGATGTGTATACGCGCGAGGACAAAACCCATGTCGTCGTCGTCGGTCGATGTTGACTGAAAAAAAAATTCCGAGAACGATAGCCGAGAGATGATGGTGGGGTGTGAGATCGAAAAAAGGACGAAACGAAAAATAAATAAAAATAAAAAGGGGTTAGTGGGAGGGAGAAGAAAGTAGGAGATCATTTACCATTGCGCGATACGGGTCGACGGCGGAGAGCCTTTCGTGAGAAACATACACAAAACACGTATATAATATATATATACACACAATATACATACACACTTCTTGCTCGATACACTGTTCTCATTTTCCATTGACTGGAAAGCATGTAATGTAGGTACAATGAATCCTCTTTTTGTTTTTCATTATTTTTTTTTCCTTTGTATCCATTATGCTTCGCATACTTACGTACAGGGGTATAGTTTCTACGTTTAACATATCACCACGTTGACTTTAAAAGTTTCCTTTTTTCTCGAGGATTTCAAAATCATTGCTTTTTATACATTAAATAGTATCATTATATTGCATCTTCTGTTTGGAAACCAAAAACACCTGTGTTAAAGCATTTTACGTTTATTTATTCGAGTTAAAAACCTTTTTCGTTCTTTATTTTTGATTAGGCGTATAAAAACTTAAATATTTTTTTACATATAAAAAATATTGTGCTATTTTAAATAGCAGTAATTAAAATATTTTCCATGCTTAAAACATGTATAATAATAATATATTAATATTTAAAGTCGGTTATAAATCACAATAGACGAAACTAACTTTAACTTCCTATAATAAATTACATATTAAATTAATTATTATTAGTGAACAGTATATACTCATACGTATAGTATATTAATATATGATATATACGTCATAAAAGTATAAATAAAATGTATGTTCGTATTTAAGATAAAATTAATAAATCAAAAATAAAACAATGAAAATTTTATTATAATCTCTTTATAATAGAGAACTAAAAGGATTTGAATACAACATATACATAATTTATAATATTAAACGATTTTGTTTTATAAATTATTATTACATAGTCACGAAAACAGGGAAAGATCTAAGTGTAAAGCACTTTGTTAAGGGAAAACATAAAAGACCTTGTACAACTATTGATTTAATAAAAATATATCAAAAGAAAATGTAAACGACTTTTTTGACTTGCTATATGTATATAATGCATATACGTTACATATAAACACCATATATTATGAAAAGTGAGCAACGCACGAAAATGTTCGTGAGACAAGACCATATTGTAATTTGCACTTTTGTAATAAAAAAAACCACATTTAGTGACTCAACTCAAAAACATGATTTTTGCTATACATAAATAAACCTTACCAATTATACTACATTTTTTTTAAATTTATAAGCCTTTTGTTTTAGTTTGATTAATAAAAACAAAGATGTTAGTAGATATATTAAACAATAATAATTAATTAACTATATTCTGTATTATAATTTAAGAAGAATATAATAATTTAATTGAAATTAAATTTAAAATATTAAAATAAATACTGAATATTTTTAAATTGTTATCTGTGATGCAAATTGCATGCGGATACAAGTGTTTAGTTGGGAAGGAGAACGCATATAGGGACTGAGCACCCCAATTATTTTTTAGTTATTTTAGCATAAGTACTCTGCTTTTTTTCAAGTAGAAATGTAAATGCGTAGGAGAGTACAATTTTTCAGTCAATACATTAACTTTCCATATGTTTTATACACTTACAATAATTTCAAAATTTATTTTACTATTCATTGGTTTATGGCATTTAATAAAAAAAAAAATAAACTAATTTAGTTGAATGAAGAAAATTAATATCGAAGTTGTTATCTAATTTCAAAGTTGTTTTACCCGTCTTGTAATTAATTTTGTTGAAGAATTATAATATTTTGTACGTTATGAAATATTTGTTAGTTTTTGACAATAGTTTTAATGGCGTGGGAGGGTGTTTGGTGTACCTATACAGTTATATGAGGTATACCCTATTGGACCTATTGTATCGAGAAATACAAATTTCGTATATTTTTTCCAAATGTCTATCCATCATATTTTATTTATCTGATTCAAGCAACAAAAAATAATAATTAAGTATCATACTGCGTGTACTTTTTCTAAGTCAATATACATTTCTTTCATTAAATAGTTATCAGAAAGAGTAAAAATTCTGAATTAGAACCATTCAAAACACTTAAAACGTAATTTTCGATATTTCAGCAGCGTAATATATATATAAGATATTATAGTATATTATTATAGTAATTATATTATTTAACACGTTTACATTTAATTATTCTATATATTCTACGAATAATAAAAAAAAAAAAAAATGAGGTTAATATGATTTTCGTGAAATAGTACGTAGTCAATAAAAAAAAAAAAGTATATGATATTATACAGGAAACTCTCCCTCGTCTGTTGATAATAATCTCTATGGATGTGTCCACGTAATTCGTTCAGGGAACTGAACATGTTCATGTATATATATATATACTAACGAAGAAAGTCCAGTGTCAAACCGAGTAAGTCTCTTGTGCTGATTTCGGTCACGTCCAATTTTTTTTCTTCGTCAACCCGGTATATACACACACTTTCAATTTTATCCCAAGCGTTCACACATATACGCACAAACCCCGGTTAAAGTAAACTTACACGTCAAGAAGTGAGGTGGCGGTGTGGGATATGTGACAACAACGAGTGGAAACTAAGAAAAAAAATGAAGGAGGAGAAGAAGACGAGAAAAAAGAATCCGTGGAAAATAGATTAAACCGAGAGATGGGCTGATAATTGAACGAGTCCTTCTCTTCTGGGCGTGAGAAGAGAAGCTTTATGTTTCACCCTTTCCTCCGCCACTGCCATAACGTCGTATTATTATTGTTTACACACACACACACATACAACCTACATATAAAATCACTGCTCCCACACATTGAAACAATAGTTCACTTTCTAATCCCCCTACTCTAACACACTAAAACGAATATGTACATGTATAGCTAGGTTTTTTCATTTGATTTTATTTGATTTTGTAATTTAATCATGATAATTAGTTCGTTTAACATTTTTATTTCCACGTACGTACGCATAATATAATATTACTATCATTATTAACAGTTTGACACGATCACTCGATAAAAATAATAATTATTTATAATTACGGTCTCCTTATCTTAAAAGTAATCTTGATATATATATATATATACATTTATTTTTCTCAAATTTCAATATTTTCTTTACTTTTACACCACTACACCGATTAAAATAATAATATTATGATTAGCGCAATATCATCTTTGGTGCGCGCACTATAACCTACGCAATTGAGTAAACCACTAAGTAAATTATAATATTTACACACACATTCCATGTGTATTATAAATAATACCGTGACGTAAATTAACTTAAATAGATATCTGAGATAAAACTATATAATATTACTTTTACTAATAAATTAAGTTTATTTCTTAATAATATGAACATTCAAAATTCTCTCTTAAATATTGTTATTTTTATAACATTCGTTTTATTCTTGACACTCATTGCTGCACAATAGTTGTCATTTCTTTAATAAAACACGCACACATGGATATAATATACATTATGTCTGCATGTATTTTATACTTATCCATAAAATGCTCGTAAACGGTCTATGTATGGGCCTCTGCTGAAGTGTTTGCATTATAACCATAGGAGCTATATGTGTATAGTGTATACATATATAATATATATTCCCGATAAACCATAAACTCGGTGCAAACTCGAGACGATAAAACATTTTCTTAGACGTATGCGCACCTAAACAGAGAAGGGGTGAGGAGCATTTAATCAAGTCTCAAATACGTTTTTGTACGTCCTTTATACTGTTTCGTCATATTAAGTTTCTTCGAAAAGATTTCAATTTCAATGGGTAATATTTTATTTGTAAATGTGTTGGTATTTTTCCAACCAAAAAAATGTATATCATATATAAATGATATTTTATAAAACACTTACCTGTTCTACTGGTGTAATGATCCACAGCCAAGTCAATACGCCTGTAACATAAAAACAAAATTCATGTCATAAATAATGTTAAAATATGACATAAAATCACTAGATAAGAAGCTGTCTTTAAATTTGATTGTATGGAATTATTTTGTAATGAAATACCTACAAAATACTTATTATTTTTTTATGTAATATGTAGTGAACATTTAAATGACTTTTAAAGACAGCAGAACAAAAAATATAACTTAAACATGGTAGCATGTAGCAATTAAAAATATTATAGTTCTAGTTATGCACATAAAAGTAAAAGTATAAACCTATAGTTAATTTTATAGTTTATTCATAGAATTAGTTGTTATTTATTTACATATTACTATATTTAATTCGATTGATAATAATATATAATCGAAAAAATAATGTCATTCGGATTTAAAAATTGAAATATTCTAAGAATGCGAAGAGATTTAAATCAGAGTGCTTTATATATAGGTACATCGCTACATACAAAACCTTTTGTTGTCAATTTTATGATCGAACGGATTTTAAATAAAATTAAAGTAGTTTTATTTTCTTTTTTGTAACATAAAAAGATTTCCAGTCTAATGGACATTTTCCTTAGATAAAAGAAAAATCTACAAAAGGAATGAGAAGTAAAAAACGATTACTACAGGTGGCTGACAGATTTTTCTATTTACACAAAATGAAAAGCTAGAACATGACGTAGTTTGTCTGTCAGCTTATTATATATATTATATTTGATTACCTTTAGGGTATTTTAAAATGTATTATTTTCGGTCAGAAGAAATTTATATTTAAAATTTTATTTTTTCAAAGTAAAAGCTGTATAAAAACTATGTTAGATTTGTAGAATATTCACGAGAACGGAAATGATCGCATTTCAAATTAATGAATTCTTGGATTATATTTTATAGATTCACAAGTTAAGCAAAATTTATCCAGTTAACCCATATAGTCAACTGTATTACCTAAAACTGTGTAATCTCTCTCCTCACACGTATTTAAACATATATTTATTTATTTCAGGATATAAACATGCTATATCGACAGACCGAACTTTAGGTCATTGCGATGTGATCTCGTATGATAATAGTCTGTATAATTTAAATAAAAAGAACAAAAATATTACCAAATCAATTAACGCGACCCATAATAGTTATAATTGCGCACGGACACGAATATATATTAAAGTATATATTATATATACACATAATTTTAATATTATAAACGTATATATACGACGTTGGCAAAAATGAGTGGTAAAGATGGGATAGGGATGACACCGACTGCTTATTATATTGCCGAGGAATAATATATATATATATATGTATCGTGTATGTATATATAATACAAGAAGAACAGATTTTTGGCGCAGTTGGTCGGATTTGCAATGAACCTCACTGTCGAGTACAAAAGCGGAAAGGGAAATGCGTATATAGGAAAGACTATGCAGTCGCCCGCGCCTATAAAATATTATTATGTAGGTTAACGGTTGTTGGCAAAGAACTCGTGGATTGTCGGGTATTTATATATTTTATACATACGGACGGGTGGCGAAATCGTTTACGGGTATTCTCTGTTTCTCTGTTTTCACCTCTATTCGACCCGACGAAAATAATCGCCGCGGCTGCTCAAAATCATATACATACGTATTAATATATTATATACGCATGAGGAGAGAACATGCCGCTTTCGGACGTCCGTCTGTCCAAGGACACGATATGTGTACAAAACTACAAACCACACACGCGGCTTACCGGAAGTGGCGGCAGTGGCGAGAAACTAAAGCAAAAGGGTTCCGGTGCGCGTCGTTCCACCCTTATGAGTTTTAAATTTTGTTTCCTCTGATCCGCATGATTCGAACCGATGTAATATTATTATTATTATTGTTTGCTTCTATGTATATTTGGGTATAACGTGGTCTACAACCGATTTTACTACAATATTATTATTAATTATTTTACTATACTGCATGTATACATATATTATGTGCAAATATAAGTCCGGTCCGATACGTTGCACAAATATTGTCGTAGGTCAGATATCGCTACAGTGCGTATACGAACTAACCAAATCAAGTATTAATTAATTAATATATAATATTTACACATACACAATCCCTCGCTACAATTAATTATTGTTTCACTTTTTATTCTTCTTTGCTACTTATTTAGTATTATTGCTCATATAATGGGGACCTAGCGCAAACGTAAAATTATAAATGTATACTGCATAATAATACATATTATATATAAACAAAAAGTATTCGTCATTAAGTAAGATTTTAATTAACACATTTTTATTTTGTGTAATATTTATCAATTTACTTTATTCATTTACTATAACACCAAAATACTAAATAATACGCTATGTGCTGAATATAATTTACACAGTAAACAATAAATGTAACAAAAACTGTAAACGTAAAACAATGAAAAATAAAAATGTTTTTTTTTTTGGCAATACTCCAATTTATACAATATAATATACCTATATTATATTATTTATAGTGATTATGAATTAGTACGATTTTCGATTAAATCGTGACAAAATCATATTGCGTAAGCATTTAAGTTATGAATGCACGCAAAGGTAATAGAATTAAATTAAAAATTCAAAGAATGTCATCAGTTATATTATATATTATATCGTAATAGCTGTGTGTTTGAATATATAAAGAAACATAGACTTAATCGAGTAAATCATCTTAACTGGGATCGAAAGGATTTAGGGAAGGCTAAGCTGTCCCTTATAAACACAGTGACGTCTATAAGCGTATATAATAGGTACCTATTGTAGATATAGCCGGTATAGGTATAAAGTACAAACATAATATACAATATATATATATATAGTATGTACATATATTCCATAGGTGCATTATAGGTGAATATAATTCATATTGGTGGCGGTGGTGTGTACGTCACATAAAATATAATACAACCATTCGTCTTGGCCGCTCCGTTCTGCAACTAATAGTCTCGCATTATATTTGCCGACGACGGCCCAAATCGATATCGTGATAATAATACAAATGATAATTAATATGAATTTCGTAACCGGAAACAAAAATCAGTCACAACTGTCGGCGATGAAAGGGTTGACGTTTCATGCACACATACACACACTCCGCCACTGTATATAATATAATATGTATAAGTATGCTCAGTGTATACAATATTATATACTCATTATACCAATATACCGTTAGACGAAACGATACAAAATATAAACAATATGTAAAATAACGACAGAACGTATACTATAATACGTATATTATTAAATTATTACAATAAATTTGACGGCGATGTTTGTGGCGGTACGTATCGTTTTCGTTTGAACTTGGTACATTTTTATTTTTCTTATTACGACGCGCCGCGCTCGCTAGCGCTACGACGTATAACAAACGTTTTCTCCAACTAAATGTTCCACACGATTTTCGACCGAAATTATCTACTCGCGAGTCGTTGGTAGCTAATGTATATGTTTTATAATATTATGTTTCGCACACGAATTTTACGAACTACGATATTATACAACTGTAGGTTTAAGCGGTAGTCGACTGATTTGCGTAAGTTTCTCTAGCTGGTTTACGAGAGTTCTATACGATCACATGAGAGCAAAAAAATATGAAAACACTATATTATTATCATAATGTACCTATGTTTAAAACACAATCCAATAGGGATGGTTATTCGTTAGTGAGTTCACAGATTCATTATATAGTATTTGTATGTAATTGTTATGTATTATAAATATACTATTAAATTAAGTAAAGGAAGTTGCCGTCTCAGATGTAGTCGACGAATTTTTGAGCTTTTCAAAAAACAATCCTTATCGTTTAAATACTAAGGTTTTTACACATATTTATTTGAATGTCAATACATATTATTTACTTCCCCGAATATTTCTTCTGAAAAATATTCGTATACTTATCAATATCGAACATTGAACTAATATTTTATTATCATATTATTAATTATGAATATTTAAGATGTATTCAAGAATATTTAGGTACAAAAAAATTAAACTCTGAAAATGTAAAACAATTCTGTGCAGTATTATGATACTGTACATAATATTATTTTATTCAACCGTGTTCATACCAACGGTTTACATAAATGTACATTAATACTATATTATAATATATTATAATGAACCCACTGACGTCGTAATTGAACTAGTGTCATTGAAATGAAATCACGTTAACTGTCGTTGTCGATAGTATTATTATTAATAGATATACTAATCATTTGACGCGCCCACTACATAATTTATATATTTATATCATATATTATATACGAGACTGTTCAGCGTTTTTATTTATTACCCATGTGAGATATCATAAGCCACCTATAAATGTATTAAAGAAATACTACGAAAATTAACAAATCTATCAAATATTGCGCATATACCTATATTATATTATGTTACTGTATATCATAATATTAATTTGTATAGGTACAACTTTTAATTGATCGTTGAAGAAATTCTACAAAAAGATAAACATAATAACTGAAATATTTGATACGTATTTAATATGAGTTTATTAGTCATGATTTTATTTTTTTATTTGTAATTTTTTTTCTATTTTTTTTTTTAATTTTAAGAAATTTTCAATTAAAATTAATTATTAGACATGTATTTCAAACTCATGTCTACACACGGGCTAGATTATGTACATATTCATTTCACAAGTTTTATAGATTAATATGTGTTTGGTATACATTACATATTAGTACTAAGTATGTATTGAAAATTAATGTAGATCACCTAAAAATGAACGGGGTGAATTAGTTGAAGCCTATGTATTATCTAAAATTGTTCGTGTATAATGTCTGCGCTCGATTCTTTTTCTCTTATCGTCACTAAAAATTCAAAACAAACAGCATAATATTTATTTTAAGGGTCTTGTCTGAAATTTAAAAAAATAATTTAATTAAACACTTTTGAGCTGCTGTAGATTTCATTATGTTTTCCTCTTATATAATGTTCAACAAACGTTGATATCTCTTAAATGTTTCAGAAA